GACGCAAGTGGATAGGCCACGCAGGTGTGGTCTCGGGCAGCATGGAGCCGAGGTGTGGTCTCGAGGAACATGGAGCCGAGGAGCACGACGTAGGTGGGCAGGCCGCGCAGGTGTGGTCTCGAGGAGCATGAAGCCGAGGAGCACGACGAGGCGGGCAGGCTGCGCAGGTGTGGTCTCGAGCAACATGAAGCCAAGGAGCACGATGCGGATGGGTTGGTCGCGTAGGCGTGGTCTCGGGCAACATGCGACCGAGGAGCGACTTGGTCTTGATCAATAATCCATCGCTTAGTGACGCGCGGGCACGGGAAGCCGGGTCACTTCCTAGGGAAGCCCAAGGGACCATCACTTTCGAGGTTCATTGGTTTTCGAGGTCGATAAGATCAACGCTTCAGCATCCACACCGCGCGCCAGTTGGCTGCCACGTCAGGCCATATTTATGGTGAAGTGACGTTCGCAACGTGCTTCAGGAGAGGAAGGGTTGTCGTTTTGGCGGGATTTAGCCTATAAATGGAGTGCAGTTGGCTTTCTGCACGTCTTGTTACTTGCATTCGCCCAGTTGCTCTTTCGGACTATGTTGCTTCGTCCGAATCGGCTATCCTGCTGTTCCTTCCTAAGGTTGGTGAGGATGGCTTCCCCTTATTCCCTGCCCTTGTCTTCTTCACCGTCTACCTCCGGTAATGCCGGAGAGAAAATATTGCTGCCGAGTCCGAACTCGTCGTCCGATGAGAAAGCGGCTAGGGCTCTCGAAGCCTTAATGTGGCCGCACGACCTCGACTCTACCATGAGCGAGTCGTCAATTGGTTACCTCCGGGGCCTTTACGGTATCCCGGAGGAGTTCATTCTTACTGCACCTGAGCTGGGGCAACGGGCGTACGACCCTATTCCAAAGGGTTTCGCCCTGACTCTGGATGCCTTCGAGGCCGGGCTACGCCTCCCACTACATCTCGTCATCACCTCTTGTTTTCGTGGTGACGTATTTCCCTGTCACAGATGGCACCGAACTCCTGGCGCTATCTGCTGGCGTTCCTAGGGGAGTGTCACTATGCCAACATTACCTCGACCCGGTCCCTCTTCCTCTCCTGCTTTCGCCTTTCCAAGGGGTCGGGGGGCTACTAACTGTCCGCCCGAGCGGGCTTCCGTGTTAGTGGGGCCCCTTCCAGTAATAAGGGAGGGAAGGGGCGTTTCTTTTTTGTCTGTCGTTCGGAGGACTGGGGCTTCGGGCTCTGGTGGCCGGCGCGCGTGATTGACAATACCGCTCCGTCCCTGAACGATGAGGAGCGCAGGGACCTTGGGCGGCTTAAGGAGATTCTCCTAACCTCCCGGGCTATCCGGGAGATGACCGAGGGGTGGCTGGTCGAGGCGGATCTTAGCCCGGCACCTCGAGGTATGCCTCCGGCGGGAAATGCTAGGGTTTTCTTAAGGATCATTTTTGGTGTTCTGACCAATGTGGGTGTTTCCGTGCAGAGATAGTGAATCTCGTCGCTGTGCGCGGGGGGCGCTCTTCGTCAGTCATGTCGTTGCGTCAAACGACCGAGCCCGGGGGCGGCACAAAGGGAGCGCCGGTAGAACTCGAGGTCAGTAGGCCTCAGAAGAAATTGAAGATCGTTGCCCAAAAGGAGGATATGCCTTCGCCTCGGGCTCGTGAGGTCATTATTGAACCGGGCCGCTGTGATCGGTGACAGGGCCCTAGTCGGGGCGAAGCTGGCCCGAGCAACGAGGTGGCAAGGAAGGCGCCACGGGAACCCTCCATCCGCGACCTGTGTCGCCTCCCTGCGAAAGCGCAGGATGAGCCCTATCAGGCTCGGGTGATGGGCGGACTCCCAGAGGGCCAACCCTCCGACCCGCTGGTCACCCGGTGGGCGGGCCTGATCCGCGGGACCCGGGAATGGGCTGATGGGGAGGCTGCGGCCTCCTTCGCGCGAGGCTGGCTTCATCCCGACATAGCTCGGGATCTGTACACCCTGCCCTTAGATGTTTTGTTGGGCAAGTCTGCTAAATCATTGCTATGGGTAAGTGTTTTGTTGTCGACTTCCTTGCCCGACTGATACTTGTACTGACTCTTTCTCCTTGCAGAGCTATCATTACACCACGGTGTTGATGGACCGTGTCCGCGACGCGGGTCGGGCCCTCGGCGTTTTGAGCGACCGCAATGCCGAGCTGCGTCAGTAGATCGAGGAGGTCCGCGCAGGGGTGGCTCCAGAAGCGGTTGCTACGGCCAAGTAGCATGCTTCCGATCTGGAGGCGGAGGTGACACAACTGTCCTCCGTTTCGAGGGCGACCGAGCAGCGTGCCTCGGAGCTGGAGGCAAAGTCGGCATGCCTCACATCTGAGGTGGAGGCTGCTGAGGATCATAATAACGAGCTCCAAAAGCTCCTGAGGGTGACCAGGACGGAGGCTCGTCTAGCTTGGGATGAGGCGGCGGACCTTGCTCGAAGCTGGAGGAGGCCCATGTCGAGGCAA